TAGGCTTAGCTTAATTTACTGTTTCATTTTTCTTAATGTCGAGACAACATTTCTGGTTACTTGGTGTATTCATTTTCTCCATCTCTTTACCAAGAAGAGGCAGGAATGCAGAAGAAACTTAAATTGTCATACCTCTCAACTCATTTCGGAAGAGGAATTCTCCGACTTCATATATGTCGATACTTCCAAAACTGTTATCACAAATACGACGAATTTTTCTTGTCTGACTCGTTCAACATTCTCTTAAGGCAGTCGGGTTCGATTCTGGAGTCAATCGCGATTATGAATCTCAATTATAAAACAAACACATTGTTTGAAGATGGGCTCAATCTGTATTTAAAAGTTATAAACACTTGTATATAATACATAACTGGAGCTCGCATTTCAACCGAACTGTGCCGTATGTTATCGTTGATAATTAATATCTATAAATATAACTTTTATGTATAATGCAAAATATTTTACATGCTCTTCTATAGTAAAGTTTCGTTTCATTAGAAAAAAAAAGGACTAACAAAAAATTGTTTAACTATAAATCGTTATACAAGTTTATAAAATTAAGATAAGTAAAAATTCCTGCTTTATCTGCACTTCACTAAACAGAAACGACTTTAAAAATGCATGTATTTCAGATATTTGCTTGTTTCTTCTCCAAATCTTTTAAATGTTGTAAGCAAAATGTTATAACAGTAAAAAAAAAAAAAAGATTATGTACGGTGAACCATAAACTCTATAGAGGGCGGTAAATGAATTATGGGTTAAATAAACTGCGATAAATTTTAGTTAGTGCTCAAAGAAGACTTTTGGAGGTATTTGTTCAAGAAATATTTTCTTTTCGGGAACATTTTCGTTTCTTGACAAATTGCCAAACAACCAGAAGATGTCCTGGCAAAAAGCCGCGTAAATCTTAACTGGGGTAAACGAAAGTGACAGTTTGGGAAAACATTGTTTGTGGAATGTTTTAAAGTTTTGATTTTGGCATTTCACGCGATTTAATGGCTTAAAAACGTGTTATTGGCGAAGTTTTATGGGTGCTGGACATGAGTAATTATTTCATTAACATGTTAATTACTAACATATATATATTAAACACGTTTAAAAGTGAAGTATACTATTTTAAAGTTCACAGGTGTATCTTGAAGTACTCGAATCATCAATATGTGAAGCATACTGAAGAAACGTGGTTTGTTTTCTTTATTAATCAGTTTAATTTCACAAAATATAAATCAAAGCAGTTTTTTTCAAGGTTTGTTCAAATTGGTTTAAAAACATTCTGTAGCAACTTCAGCGTTAGTGTTGCACAGCGTTTCAGGTTCCTGATAAAATCTTTACACGAAAGAGAGGATAACAAAATTAACCACGAACTGAACTCCAACACTGGGTGAATCTATATATATTAGTACTGTCTGTTGTATTTCCATGTAACTACTTTGCAGGGTTTGAATG